ACTGTTAAAAAGCAAACAGTTGACAAAATTTTAGATGTAATCATTAAGTTTATTTAATATTGGGAATTCCACATGTAGACAATTTCTGAAATTTACTATGAAATGCCGGAAACCGTCACTGGCAAGTCTTTCTAACTTGTGATGATATTAAAGAACGACCCAAGACCACATTTTTGTGGTGAATGCCAGGGCACAATGATTGTGTTTGAACACTGGTTCACTTACACTACACCTCTCAATTTCACACGTTTCAAGGGAATCATCAAAGCCTTCAGTGGAATGTGTTTGCGGCTCACATCAATAACTTTTCCAGTAATTTGGTTGAGTGTATTGATTTCAGTGGCTCGAGTGCACTGCTGTGGGAAGGTCACGTTTTTTCCGAATAAATAACACAGAACTAAAATGGTGTCGCCGAGCTTCACATCTCGGTAGATTTACTTTGTGGAATAGCGGCCGCCGCCGAGCTACACAGCTCGGTAGATTTACTCTGTGGCACTACGGCTGCCTAGCATCACAACTCGCCGGTAAATTTGCTTTGTGGCACAACGGACTAAACAACCCGTTTTGATGCATGCACCAGGAGTAGCACGCATTTTCCAAAGAAAAATATGAAGGCTTAATCCAAAGTAACATTTTACTCAGGGTGTAAACTTTTAGCACACTTTTGAAAGATGAACGCTTTGGAAGATTCATTAAACACAGATCAATAATAGACCTTCAGCAAACTCTTAAATATGTACGCTTTACGAAGATTCAACACACTTTTAAAAGATGAACGATTTACGAAGACAGAATAGCAGACCTCAGCAAACGTTTGAAAGATGAACACCAAGGAGACATGAATCACCACGTGAGTTAGCGCGTCAAAGTGAGGCAAAACGTACGCAAGCGCCTCAAAGCGAGGCAAATGTGTGTCAACGACGACGACGAGCGAAATCTAAAAAAAAACTTCCCTTCTTAATGGCACAGGACACTCAATAATACACAGAACACCCAACACAAATTAGGGGTTGCGTTCTCGTCCCTCGAACGCAAAAACGTGACTTTACGAACTTATTTGATTAGTTTCACAGTACAGGATTGTTTTCTATTTCGTTTTGTTGGTATAGAGCTTGTTTCACTCATCTGATTTCTTCAAATTTGAGTTGCAATCCATGTTTATGGTACTATGATCAATTGGTTCACTTTGATAAAGAAATTAATGCAAAAGTCTATCGTCATAATCTCTGGGAGTATTATAAATGTCACTTCAACTGTTCATTTGAATGGCATTTGACACCTCATATGACGTTATATACACCGTATTCATAAATGGCGGCCGCGCGGAACGACCTGGTTTCGAATGCTTGAAAACGAGGCTTGGTAGAGCACTTGGTAGAGCACTTAGACTTGTATTACAAATCGCCTATGCTATCAAAATTTCTCAGAAGCGTCGTTGAAACCGTGGATATTTTTGAATATACCGTATTTATTCGATTAACCGCCCTGGGCGCTTATTAAATTTTTGGACCTTGAGAGTGGGCGCTTATTCGAGATGGGCGTTTATTCGAGGCTGGGCGCTTATTAAATTTTCACCATTTTCAGAAAGTGAAGTATGTTTATTTTGCAACAAAACAATAAATGCTAATGACAAAACGCGAAGAAGTAACAAAGCAGGTTTCTGTAAAATACTCTGAAGAAAACTCCGTCCTCTGGGAAGTCTCTTATTAGAATGTCTTCACTCAAGTGGGTGGGGTGGGGGTGAACGCTTATTTGAGTTTGATTGAGAAGGGGAGGGGTGGGCGCTTATTAACTTTTTCTACCTTTAGGATGGGCGCTTATTCGAGGTGGGCGCTAATTCGAGGTTGGGCGCTTATTCGAATAAATACGGTAACTGGATAAAAAGGTTCTTCAAGTTTCCGAACAGGATATCTTTGCGTTATAAGTACGAAATCCGTCGTGGAGAGGTTGTGAGATGCCGACAAATTGCTGTGTACCACTCTGTACAAAGAATGACAAACGAGACAAAGAGACAGGCAAAAAGATTTCTTTTTTTCGCTTTCCAGAAGACGAAGACCTTATGAAGCAATGGATCCATGCTATCAGGAGAGATGTTGGGCCGTATTTTTCCGTAAATGAGGGAACCCGGGTTTGTTCGAGACATTTCAAGACGGAGGATTTGCGTAAAAGTCTGAACGGCAGGGTTAGCCCCAAACCAGGAGCTGTGCCAAGCATATTTGCATGGAAACGAAGTTCGCCGAGAAAACGAGCACCGCCGACACCACGCTTCACGGCTACATCTGTGGCAAAGAATTTAACGTCAGAAGCTAGTGAGGCTACGGATTTGGCAGCCGAAAGCCGTGAAATTGCCACGTCAACAAATATGGTGGCCGACTTGGCCTTTCCGGAAACAGCGGAAATGCAAAACACGACACATTTTGCCGAGAAATCTGAGAAAGATTTTTTGATAGCTGACCTTGAAGACAAGCTTTCCGCAGCTGTAGCGAAGAATGAAGAACTACAGGAACTGGTTTCAAAACTGAAAGAGAAAGTTACAGATCTTGAGGAGAAATACGAGAAACTTGAGGAGCGGTTGTTTTCATTTAAAAACATCGCCTCACAGGACTCACTGGTGGCATTTTACACTGCATTTCCAAACCTCCAGACAATGATGGCCTTGTACCACTATTTGGATCCTGGTGACAGGGGTGAAAATATTAGTTATTGGTTGTCTGGGAAAGATGTCGATGGCACTGCCAGGCCAGTGAAACAAGGAAGACCAAGGACCTTAAAGCCAGTGGACGAGTTTTTTCTAACATTGTGTAGGCTGAGGCAAGGTTTTGCCGAGTTGCATTTAGCTCACTTGTTTCATGTCTCTTAGCCAACTGTGAGTAGAATTTTTATCTCTTGGATAAATTTTTTGTATTTCAAACTTGGCAACATAAATATTTGGCCTTCCAGAGAAATAGTCAATGAGACAATGCCAGAAGATTTTAAGGCCAAGTATCCAACCACAAGGGTAATCATTGACTGCACAGAAGTGCGTTGTGAAATGCCGAGTAGCCTTCTTTTAAATAGTGAGCTGTTTAGTTCATATAAGCACCATACAACTTTAAAGGCATTAGTGGGAATTTCACCAAGAGGGTTTTTTACCTTTATTGGGCAACTATATAGTGGCAGCATATCCGACAGGGAAATGGTAGAACGCAGTGGCTTCTTGAGCCTTCCCTTTTCAAAAGGAGACACTGTGATGGCTGACAAGGGTTTCACGATTGAAGACATACTTCCCCTAGGAGTCTCTTTAAACATTCCCCCTTTCCTGGGAATGTCTGATCAGATGTCAGCTGAAGATGTGATAGCAACACAAGAAATTGCTAGTTTGCGTATCCATGTGGAAAGAGCTATCAACAAGGTGAAGAATTTTCTCATCTTTGATGGAGTTATTCCATTAAGCCAGTTTGGGGTAATAAATCAAATGTGGTGTGTTTGTGCAATGTTGTGCAATATGCAGGATCCAATCATTAGTGCCTAAAGTGGCTTGAAACAGTTTCCAGCACTTTCTGATATGTAGATATCGCTATGGTAACCTATTGTGCCACAAAATTAACAGCAACTTACTCAACAATAACTGGGCAGTTTTTTTATACCATGAGTTTGACATCAACTGATATAAAGTAGTTCTAATGACTCATCAAAATCTATGTCTTGGAAATTAGTGAAAACTGTTTCTAGCCATCTTGAATTAGTCCAAAACATGGAACAGCATGAAACATAAAAATATCCCACATTGTCAACACCCTCACCCACTCTGTAGCTTAACATTGACAGATACATTTATTATTTTGATACAGTTAATTTTGTGAACATTTCCTTAGTTTTTATTGATTATGTCAAGTGACATTGTGCTGACTGGAAAATCCCTATATGGTTTGACAATCAAAATTGCGCTTACTACACAACTTTTGCTTACATTAGCTTTGGTTGAAGAAGGCAGCTTTACCTATATAAATTTGAGGTTTGCCGGAGAAAAGTGACATTTTCCCATCTAGTTGAATTTACTCTTTAAAAACCTACTAAGGTAAAATATTTTTCAAGGTCAGAAAAGGGAACTGCCCCGAACAAAAACTTTTGTCGACTGTAGGGTCTATCAGTAGCCAAAGTAATCAGAAAGTTTAATTTACCCAAGCATATTAAGCAAGCAGGTATTTTAACAATGAGAAAAAAATAAACTAAGGGGAAATCATGTTTGCCTCAGGTGGTGTAGCCAAAGATATCACCAGGTATTCCAATACATTTTGAGACTATTTTCCATAGATCATGTGATTTTTTTTAAAAAAAAAAAGCTCCTGAGCACTATTATAAGAATGGAACAGCTGTAGTTCAAAATACAGGGATGTCAAAAGCACTTGGCTGTATATAAAAATTGCTACCAACTTCATCACCTCAACTGGGTACTCAGGAAGACTGATATATAATGAACCTTAAGATTGAAATACTTAGGCATACTACTTCATAGCCTTAAGACAACCCTCCATCGTAATTCTGATACGCTTAAGTTTGGAACTGCAACTCTTTTCAACCTATTAAGCTCCAATGATTACCATGATCACAAATTCTCCCTCCTAGGTTACCTACACTTCCTGTAGTTGTGGTGTTGTAGTTGAGAGAGATTCTTTGCAAAACCTGGGTCTAACTTTGCTGACCTCTATTATTAAGACTTGGGTTTGTTTCATTATTTATATTTTCACCAGCAGAATTTCACTGCTGATCACTAGATTGGAGCTTATAGGTCAACTGATAAATGGTGTAAAATAATTGACAAGAAGTATTCAGTAAACTAGATGCAAGTACAAACAAAGTACATAAAATGTAATCTCAAGCATCTGTTTACATATTGTTGTAGATTAAAATGCATTTCTGATTAAAATGCTTTCAAACTAGTTTGATTTGTATTCCCTTTGTTTTATAGTCATTATCATAAAACAGGAACAAGGGAAAAAAGAAGTAGAAGTGGTAGATTATTACTTTGCAAACTCAGTTGCTGCAGTTTTAATAAAATGGTTAAAGTAATATGTGTGAAGCTTTAGCTTCAGAGTTTCCCAGTAGGCAGGATCAAATGGAATTCTCTCTACAGAAATGCCCTTCTTTGTGTAAACAATGAAGTCACACCATGATGCTCCACTTACACCCATTTGGCCTTGCACTTGAGTATAGTATGCATGATTCTTTTTCAGTTTACATTGTCCATTGACAGCCTCACAAAAGAAATTGGGGTCTTGGCAGGCATCTAGTGGGGTTACTTGAAATTTCGTTTCAGGACATTTTACTTCGGCAAGTCCAAAATGATACCGGCATCCAAAATCGACAACTCTGCCATCTGGTGAGCCCCCCAAAAATGGCATGTCCAGACAAACAACAAACCCGCTCTTAAAAACCTTAACAGGTGTCTTCAGTGTGAACATTACTTTCTCATACTCTTGGATAGCAATTAGTTCATATTTTATGCCATGTTCCACATACCTTGAGGTGAATGGCTTTGGATTAATGAGATCCACTGCAAACTTCTCATGGTTCCTTTGCCTTTTTGAGATGAGGTCAAATTTTGAAGTAGTGAATCTGAATTTTCGTTCCTTCTTCCACTGCTCTGAGGATGATTGATCTCTTGTGGCTTCCTCAATATTGTTGATCTTAATTTCATCAACCACAAGAGAACTGATGAGTGCCTTTTCAGACACAGTCAAGTTGTCAGGCCATACAAAATCACTACCCGAGTTTAGCGGGAACCTGGGATAAGTCAGTTCAGTTTCACCAATGTCATTTCTTGGTACAGATGAAATGTCAATGGTAGCCACAAAGTTTGCCTCAGTATGAGTCAATTGGTAGCTACAAAATGAGCCAATTTGACTTTTGCCAAACTTCGTCTCCACACATTTGCTGAGAGAAGAATCCTCTCTTGCCATTATTGATAAACCCATTTGAGGATTTATTTTCTCAAGAGCCTTTTTCAAGTTCATTTCAGCTTGAAAGTCATGCTCGGGGTTGCATCTTGCATCATGTATCAAGCATTTCACTCCTTCTCTGCACCTTGCCTCATCTAGTTTAGTCTTAGTAACGGTGACTTCCATTACTGGTTGGGCAGATATTTTGTCCCCTCGACCCTTTTTGTGCCATTTCTGGAGCTGTGAGGTAGAGGCAAGATCAGGCAATTCATCATCATCCTGGCACAAATCATGGGTGCTTTTACTGTCAAATAAACTAAACTTGCATGCTTTGAACATCAATGCAAGAACGTTGTTGCAATATCCCACTTTGCCAGCTTTGCATGAGCAGTGGGCATGTGTGACTTGGCCTTAGACAATGCACATAGCAAAACGAAGATCATGGGGAGCTTCACTCTTCTTGAAACTATGAAAGCACTTTGCTTTCAAATAAAAATACCTCTGATCGCTGTTGGCTTCGATTTCTTTTAGGTACTCGTCCTGCAGAAATGTTTTCGCTTTCCTTAAATTCGTCGGAATCGAGTGGTACTCAGCATTTGCGACTCGTTTTCCTGAATTTGCCACGTGCTGATTCATTTCTGCCCTCGTAAAAGACGGCATCCTTTCGAGCGACTTACCCCAGCCATTGCTCGGATATTTCACACTTGATGTGACAGGAGCGGCGCCATTTGGTAGATTTGAAACCCTCGCCTTTCTTTTTGTGTATATTTCATCCGGATCAGGATTGACCACCATAGTATCTCTTCCGTTTTTAATATACTCTTGGACTCTGCAATATAATCAAGAAATATTTTTCAATTTCACGCGTACTCTCAGAATTTATTGTGATCTCGGGAAGCTGTGAACGCGTGCTACCGTTTTACGAGCTGTGCTTTCGTCTTTAGTCCCTTAAGCGAATCGCCTCGACAACGTAACCAAAATTTGAGCTCTTCATTCTTAAGTGAAGAAGGATTTCTACCAGCCAAAGAAGCTCCAGGAATATCGTCTTCTGTAAGAATCACAGTATCAGTCGAAGCTGTACTAGAGGACGCCATTCTTGTTGTGATCGGTGATCTGTAACCATGGCCTACCAAGCCTCGTTTTCATGCATTCGAAACCAGGTCGTTCCGCGCGGCCGCCATTTATGAATACGGTGTTATCGAAACTTGTATAAGGCAAACACCTTGTATTAAGCGGACACTACAGCATTCCCCGAGGGTGTCAGTTTACTACAGGTTTCACTGTAATTATTTATAGACATGAGGCTATAGCATCTTCAATCTGCCAATGATTGAGTTTTTATTATATCATTTATGGGGTGCATACATGCAGCTTAAAAAGACAAGACATTTACCTTAATGCTGTTTAAAAAAATATTACTTTAGGTGAACAAGCAGAGGTTGCAATGGCAGTGTTGCCTTTGTTACTACAGACAAAGGCTGGCGCTTGCAGACATAAAGACTTTGTGCAATTTGTCTTGGTAAGTTTCATACATTTTTTTATGCAAGTTCTTCAAAAAAGGATGGTTGTTATTATTTTGTATGTTTTGGAAAAAGGTGTCCTCACTTTGCAGTCTTGTGATCGCTCCTTAAAAAATTAATATAGGGTTAAAAAGTTCTAATATTTCTGACTTAGAGCCTGTTTAAGTGGAGGTGGGGGACCCCTGGTAGGTGAGGCAACCTGCTTAGTCGGTTAACGCCATGTACATATAATGTCTGATTTTAATTTGATCAAGTTTACATAATAGATGGGGTGACCTGCCACATGTTTCCTCACCTGTGGGGCCCCCACCTGCATGTAAACAGGCCCTTAACTTACTCTGGGTATGGCAATCAGGGCTAAAATTGAACAAAAAGACACACACTATGGGGGTGAACTCCATGTTGAGCATATCTGTCAGTTGCTCGCCTTACCAATTAAAGAGAAGAGTGTGTGGTAATTACTTGTACATGTGTGTGTGTTTCTGAATTTTTTCGTTTTTTAGTCCTTGGTCCTTGTGGCCACTATTCATACCTTATTAATATTCATTAGACTTCGTGCATACTATATAAGCATGTGTTGATTATTCATAGTTGTCAGTTTGTCTAACTTTGGTTGGATTCGCACCGACTATGACCAGTACGCGTCCGTCCCAACTGAATGCTGTGGCTGAAGTGCAGGAAGTGTTGCGGCCACTGGAATCTTCTTCTCGTCGTGAAACGCCGCCGTCAACGACACCTGTATTGGCAGCAGAGACAGAAGCGTCCGGGAGTGGTGCAACTTTGCAGGATATCAGTTTCCGTATAATTCCGCTTACCTGTAGGTTTCTAGTTGTCGTTCGTTTCGAATGGCGCTTTTTTTGGTCTCTTTTCTTTTTGTGTTTTTTTTCCCAATTGTTGGTTTTCATCGAATTTTCTAAGTGGTCTGGCTTTCCGTTATTTGGAAACACGTGATTGGTAATTTATTCGTCTGACACCTTAGTGCCAGTCAAAGGATTAATTATGTTATTTATTCAATGCACTGTCGTAGTTGTCATCTTTGTCATTTAAATCTACGCGAGGCTGTTTTCTCCGTGCATGGAAGGACCGGTCGAAATAGATTCTAGTTACACAAGGATTGGGAAAGTGTGAGTCGTGGACTCCTGTTATGCCACGGGGTGGCATCGGAATAGAGGAACCCGGTCGAGGACCGTGGTGCGAAAAAATGAAAAAAGGGAAAGGAAGAATGTAGGAGAAAGGAAGTCGATCGGGGAATAATTTCTAATTAGCGTCCACTTTGTTGTATGTAGGAATCGGCTACAACAGTTGGGACATTGAAGAGGGAGTTGGACGAGTGGAAAAGAAAGGTTGATTCTTCGGTGGTGGACTCGGCTTTGTCTTCGCTACAAATGGTCATCGCCCGGCCGGCGGCCTTGTTCGACCCTTACACCGCCATTGCCGCTCTCGAGGAGGTAGTGAACGTTACGAGAGACAAGAAAGACGACTTGGCCACCCGTTTTCAGATAGTCCTGAGACAGTGCCGCCCACTAGTTAACAGTCCAAACCAACAGCAGATTCTTATTAAGCTAGTGGCAACGAAGGAGGAAGCCGAGGTGGCTAAGGTTATAGCCAAAGCGACAAAGGAGCCCGCCTCAGCCTACCACGGGTCGTTCCGGGGACAGAGGCGGGGAACCTCGTATTCAAGGCGTGGGACTTTCCACATGAGGCCTCCAACCGCTCCACGTTGTTGGCTGTGTGGAAAGATGGGCCACATCTCCCGTTATTGCCGAGAGGCGCTGATCCTGATTTTTAAGTTTGTTCTGATTATTCTTTTCCTGGAAGTTATTTGATATTGTTTCATTGATGATAAAGCGTTCGAGTTTGTACTTAACACGTTTTCTATGTTTCTGTTAGTATTTTCCTACGGATCTGTTGTCTCGAGGTTAGAGAGGTGACCCCACAAGCGTTTTGCCTATAGGCATGCCCTTGTGCCCGATTACTCGGGCTACGGTGGTCATTCTCTCTGAACTCGGGTGCAATTTTCTGGGCGCGGGTTACTTCCCCCTTCTGATCGTTCGTTTCGATGATTTCTTTTAGCCTATGGTGAAGCATCTAAGGGGAGAGGTATTGGAGTTTGCGCCCTTGGAAGCGGAGAAGAGGGCTGAACAGAAAGAAATACGCTGGATATCCTTGGATGGAGACCCGAGTTCAGAGAGAATGACTAACAGTAAAAAGTGCCTGTCAGATATTTGTAGCATTGTTTGGGGTGAAACACCCGTTTCGATGTCTGATTTGTCTTTTCGTGATCCGATTCTTTTAAGTCTGGTGAACTCCGTACATGCATTGACCTCTGGAAGGAAATCTTGGAGGGTTATGACAAGGCGGAAAATGTCCTTGAGTGAATAGGAAAGGGTGTAAATATCAGGGAATTTATGAGGCCGTTTTGGGGGTCCTTTATGGGCGTTAACTATGATAGCACCGATCCCCCATCGAGGGCCTTTAAAAACCACCACTCCTGTAAACAGTTTTCACAGTTTGTTACGGAGACACTTTTACAGCGCATCGAGACTGGGGCAATTCGTGTCTGGGGTCGGGTTGGGGACGTAAGTTGGCCCCACTTGGTCCTCCCAATGACAATCGAACCGCAGAAGCCCAGATTATGCACTGACGCCCGGTTCTTAAATCTGTGGATGAGGGATACCCCTTTCTCTCTTGACTCGCTCATTGGAGTTCCTCGCTTCGTGTATCCTAACTCTTACATGAGCAATATCGACGACAAGTCTGGCTATGATCATATTCTGCTTTCTCCTGAGTCTCAGCAATATTTCGGCATCGCGTGGCAGGGGTGGTGGCTAGTTGGTGTTACGCTCCCGTTTGGTTGGAAGAATTCCCCCTTTGTTTTCCAAACTGTTGGCTTGGGTCCAACGAATTTTTTCAGGAACTTAAGGGTGGTACACGCCGGGCTGGTGAGTGCTCTGAAGCGGAACAATCAGCGTCCACAAATATGGCGTTTGTGACCATGTGGTTTTTAGAGAAGCCTGGAACTGAGTTAACGCCTGTTGAAAACTGCCTCCGAGCGGTCCTAGAGTTAGTCCGAAGGCGCCAAAACTCGAATGTGCTGAAAGTACACAGTTTTCCCGTCATTTTTATACTAAATATGCCATAGTTTCTTCGATGTTCGCTTAACAAGAGACAGTAGAGGAAATAGTAAAAGAAAAGGTAAGGTTTATTTGTCGTTTCTACCGTATTTTTGGCTAGGATAGTTTTTTAAGTTTCTCTACTTATCCGAGAATTTGTGCTACGAACCGAAACTTCAAAGCCTTGACAAAAGCTCTATGATTTTTGTTTTCCTAATTTTGCCTTCTTTCCTTAGTTTTTTATGAGTTAATTTCTAGGATGCCGCACACAAAGAACACGCACTTTAACTTGGCTCAATTCATGAAAGCTCGCAAGGTTGCAAGGGAGAAAGCTGTTGATGAAAATCGCAAGCTATCGGCAGAGTACAAAAAAGTCCAGCGAGCCCAAGAAAAGGTGAGATAAATTTGTCCAGTATTAATGTTTTGGGAAGATTTTTATTTTCAATATCAGAGAATATTGTAACAAAGGATTATAGGAGAGTGGTGGAGGTCCATGTGCAGGGAGGCTTGAATTTCAATTTTGACAGGGTAAAGAAATTCAAAATAATAATAATGATAATAATAATAATAATAATAATAACAATTATTATTATTATTATTATTGTAGTTTATTATTATTATTATTTTTACTATTATTATTTTAATAAGAATTATTTTTATTATGAACTGGGCAATCATGGTTTGTTTAAACCTCGCTGTACTTCTCTACACAAACACTTGTTAATATCCACCCCCACCCCCCGCACAAGCTTTTTATGTGTTTAAACTCTAAATGACACTTAAAATTAACCAATCAGTGCTTATGAAATCACTTGTATAATAATTGCTTTCAGTTGGCCACAGTCAGGGAGCACTTCAAAGACATAACAAATGAATAAGAAAATATTCCTGTGAGTATACTCTTGATTCTTTATTGTGGTTGTTTTACCAGTACCAGTAAGTATGCAGCAAAAAACTGCTGGGCGCAACCTCCAACTAAGTCTGTAGGTTTGCATTGATTAGTGGTTGGATGATGTTTAATTTTATGCCAAATTTTATTAATAATGTGAACAGAAAAATATTCAATTTTGTAAAAATAAAAAAAAAAATATTTTGCAAGTTCAATTTCGGTGAACTAACCACTTAACACAGAGCCAGTGCCAGAATGACAGCCATGGTCAGGCTTCTATGCCGGTACCTATGCAAGAAACCTGAGCGAGTGCCTGTGCTCATTTGGTTAGTAAAGACTGTCATAAATGACAGTGTCTCTAAATTATTACCACACTCTTAATTCTTTATTATGGTTGTTTTAGCAGTAAGTATGGAGCAAAAACTGCTGGGCACAACCTCCAACTAAGTCTGTAGGTTTGCATTGATTAGTGGTTGGATGATGTTTAATTTTATGCCAAATTTTATTAATAATATGAACAGAAAAATATTCAATTTTGTAAAAATAAAAATAAAAAATATTTTGCAAGTTTAATTTCGGTGAACTGGCCACTTAACACAAAGCCAGTGCCAGAATGACAGCCATGGTCAGGCTTCTATGCCGGTACCTATGCAAGAAACCTGAGCGAGTGCCTGTGTTCATTTGGTCAGTAAAGACTGCCATAAATGACAGTGTCTCTAAATTGTAAACATCAACATATTGAATGTAAGATTTGGCTAAATATCTATTTTGTTATCATCCAACCACATCTAATTTAAATAATTGTGTTACTACCCAGTGTCTAATTTAGCAATATTTTAGTCACAGGGACAGGTATCTCAGGCACGAACAAGAAGCCCTACTGCACTTGTCAATGGAGAATCAACACTGGGACCAAGGACCGCAAGAAAAAGGAGGCATGAAACCATTGAAGCTGCTGCCAAAATTCATGGGAGCTCAAATGAACATTCCTCAGCCTGTTTCAAGGGAATGTTTGACACTCTGCAAAAGAGATGCACGTTAGATAAGTTAACAAAATATGTGACAGAGAACAAGCAGTTGACCAATAGAATAGTTTGTAAAGAGTATAAGAAGAGTGTGTTAGAATTTGAAAAGTCAGATGACAACATTGTTCGAAGTATTGCAACATATTATGCAAGTGGTGTAATGGGGAAACGAAAGTACAAAAGTGTAAGACTGGTGCTTTCAATGAAATCAAATGAAGGCAAACCAGGGAAAAGAACAAGTATTTCAATTTGTAAAGGCTGTAAGGTTCCAAAGCTTCTAACTTATAGTAACCTTGTAGAACAGTTAAAAAAGATTGACATTGGGACTGTTCATGAAATTGACCCAGACTATCTAGAGGGCTTAGAAACTGAAAACCAAGTCAATGGTGCATATAGAGACTTGAGACAATACCTCCCAATGCTTGCCAAATTTTATCTTTCTCAGAACAGAAAAGAAAGTCTGAAAGGCTTTGCAGAATCAACAGGCACTTTTCAAATTGCTCTTGGTGGCGACGGATGCCCATTTGGCAAAAATGAGAGCGCGTGTTCTTTCTTAGTCAGTTTCCTCAATGTTGGAAGAAGGGTGGCATCAAGTTATGATAACTTTCTAATTTTTGGTGCCAACTGTGATGAAAGCTCTCCTGTTACAAAGAAATATGTGAGGTCATTATTACCTCAAATTGCAGAGTTAGAAAGAGCTGAATATGAATTTGAAGGCATGAAATATAGGTTTAAGCTGGAGGAATTGCCAAATGACATGAAGATGCTTGCCATGTTGGCAGGTGAATTAACTATTAGTGCTAAGTATTTCTCACCCTTTGCTAATGTTTCATTAGCTGATTGTAGGGATGTTAAGGGTACATTTGGAACTGAAAGTTCAAACAAGTGGAAGCCATGGAGTTACAAGCAAAGAGTAAATGTTGTCAACAAGGTTGAAGCATTTAAGAAAAGAGTAGCACTAGAAAAAATTTCTGAAAAGACAAAGAGATCTAAAATTACTGATTACATTCCCCAACCAAAGTAGTAGACAGGAATTTTTGCCTCTCTTAGGTTCTTACATTGACAAAGCTCATGTGGAACCCCTTCATCTAAAGAACAATGCTTGGCAGTACTTCTTTAAAGCAGTTTTGACAGAAGCTATAAGAAAATCTAAGCTGCCAGCTGATTGTAAAAAGTTTTCAGAGGTTCCAGCTGATAGCCCTTTTGCACGAGTAATTACAGCTTTACAAACAGAAGTAAAAGCCAGGCGCCAAACAATGGTTTAATGAAACTCAAGGGTCTGGAGCTGATTTGCATTATAGATTTACCGGAAAAGATTCCCGCTGTTTTTGTCATAACTTCATGAGACTAATCAAGTGGCTAAGGTGTGAAAAAGATTCCAGGAAAGAACGTCAAACAGTTCTTGCTTTAGCTTATTTAGGTGCGAGGCTAAGGGACTGTGTTTCTCTCTTTAGTAGATTTGAGATAACATCAGACCACATTGATCAGCTTTCTATTGCCTGTCATGAGTATTTTAAAGTACATTCATTGTTGTTGCCAAGTTCTGTAAATCCTACTGTCTGGACATTGGGTCACATTGTCTCGGCTCATTGTCGTCAAGTGCTTGAAAAGTATGGCCAGGGGTTGGGGTTGGTAACCATGGAAGGACGAGAAGCGAAGCATATTTTTCTTAAAAAATTAGGTGAAAATACAACATATCAAAACAGATGGGTTGAAATATTTAGACATGAATATGTGATGCTGATTTGGCTACCTCAGCAAGGTTTTCAGCAGCCAGAAGCTGCATGCAAAAATGTAGCCTACATCCCAGAGAGGGTATTCAATGATCCATCTTATTGCTATTGTGGTCTGTTAAAGGCATGTCCTGAGGATGCTAAGTGCTGTGTCTGTGGAGACCCAATCATGAAATTTATTGAGCAAAGTGTAAAGGACGGAAGGATTGCTCCACAGCTTTTGTAATTAATGTTAAATATGTACACAGTTGGACTCAAAAACACTGCTGACTTGAGATTATATATTATATTACATTACATAGTTTATATCATACCATACAATATAATATATTATATCATATCATATTATATTTTATTATATATGTACTGAGATTTACCCATTGAAAAGGCGCGAAATAAATTTGGTTCACAAGCTGGTCTAAGAACCCGACAGCCAATCAAATGGCGCGTATTACTTTTTCCACGTGTGAGGAAAACGATACGTCCAATCAGGTGCTGCGTATCATGTTTTTTGACGTGTGAGCCGTAACAAGGTGATTTTCATTCAGCTCGCAGCATTTCACTTTGTTAAAGAAATCTTTCGCAAGTGTTGAAGCTTAAAAACATGAACGAGAAAAGGTTTGTTGATCACGATACTTCAGTCGAGGATTACGTAGAAAGTCTCGAAAACAGGAATACGAAAGAGAAAACGAAACGAGATGTGAAATTGCTGGAAACGTTTTTGAGAAACGAAAAGAACGACGAGCGAGAAGTGCAAGACATAGAGCCCGCAGACTTAAACAAGCACCTTATGGAGTTTATTCGGTCTGTGAGACGAAAAGACGGAGAGGATTATGAGCCTTCAAGTTTAAGATGCCTTGTTTCAAGTATTGAAAGACATTTGAAGAAAAATAATTATACTAAGAGTATCATTAACGATAAAGAATTTGAATTGTTTAGAAAGTGTTTACAGGCTAAACAAAAAGAGCTGAAGAAAGCAGGCCGAGGCAACAAGGACAAAGCCGCTGTGGCTATCACGGACGAAGAAGTCGATATACTTCACGAAAACAATTTGCTTGGAGTTTCTTCTGCTGAATCATTGTTGAATACTGTTTGGCTGAACAACACCATTCATTTTGGAATGCGTGGTTGTCAAGAGCATAGGGATTTGTGCTGGGGAGATGTAAAGCTTTGTAAGGACGCACAAGGTAACGACTATCTAGTTTACAATGAAAGACAGACAAAAACAAGGTCTGGAGTAGACGCCTCAAACGTTCGAAAAGTTTCCCGAAAATGTTTTCAACTGGTGATGAACGAGATCCTGTCGTGGCGCACAAAATTTACCGTGAAAAGCGACCGGAAAACATGATGGCTGACGATTCGCCATTCTACTTGGGAATAAACCACACGAAAACAGACGGCTCCAAAAAGCACTGGTTCAAGTCGGCACCTATGGGTGTAAATAAATTAAACACTTTGATGAAAACAATGGCTTCAAAAGCAAACATCAACAACGAGCGACTCACGAACCATAGTGCTCGTAAACACATGATTCAAAAAACTTAATGACAGTGAAATTCCGCCAAAGCATATAATGCAGTTAAGTGGGCACAAGAACGTGCAAAGCATAACAAACTATAGTAGCTTGAACCTAAATCAACAAAAAAACATATCAGGCATCTTAAGCCGAGCATCGTCATAAACACAAGTAACTACTGCAACTAACGAAACTGCTGCTGCGAGCACTTGCACTAGTAAAACCCCGATGAGTTTTTTTTTTGATGGAGCAGTAATAAGTGGAGGACAATTTACGATTTCCATTAATGCGCTTACTACCTCGCCGACCATTCAAACCAGGAGTTCCGTCACCGAAACCACCGAAAAAGGTGGAAGAGAATCCGAATTGAGGAGTCCGACTCGGATTAAAGTTTAGAAATAATATTTGAACATTATTTGCTTGCTGTAATGTTAAATTTCTGGCAGAAATTCAAGTTTATGTTATAATCCTTGCATGAGTTTTTAACTTTAATTCATGTAACAGAGTTTTGTCTCGGTCTGTCATTAAAGAGGAAAAACAAGAATTAAAATCTCAGTGTATATATAATAAACACAATACCACATGGAAAGTGCTTTGTACAGTATTTATGCACTCGTTGTTTTTGTATCAGAAATCTCACTCGTTCGCTGCGCTCACTCGTTCGATTTCTGATACGTCAACAACTCGTGCGTAAATACCGTACGCCCGCACTTTCCATGAAGTATTCTCTATAAATTATATTACATTAGCAGCAGTAAGGAACTTTAAGATAGTGTTAGAATATAAAATCCAGTTTGATCACCCTCCCGTTGTGTGGTTTTGTTTACAATTGGTCCTAACATAAGGAATCAAACATGTTGGGACTCAATATCAAACCGCTCGGCATTCAAACATTGTTGCTAATACTGATAAAGTATGTCTATGGCATTTTGATAGGATTCATTGGCAACTGCGAAGAGTGGAGGACAATTAACAACAACAACAATTTATTGGCGTATACTGTAGATGTCATTACCTACAAATTATATAAGAATTAACTGCAATGGGCCATTCCATTTTATATCAGCACCCCCCCCCCCCCATTGGGGGTCAAGGAAATCCTAGGGGGAGGGGGGGGGCCTTTAGCAGAAATTTCTGAAGGAGTAGCCATGTTGGTAACTTTGATCTTTTTGTTTTTTTTGAAGGGGGGTCTGTGTCAGCACTTTGATCTTTAAAATCAGAGGGGGTCCTCAACTGTTATTTCCGGGGGAGTAGAGACCAAAACCCCTCAATAGGGAGGGTGGGGGGTGCAGATATTAAAAGGAATGGCCCAATAACTAAACTATATATATATAAAAGGCGAGGCAAGTAACTACAAATCGGCTGAGTACATAATGTTAGGACAACTTATAATTACAAACAGCCTGACATATTCTCCACTCAGTCTATTCCGCATTACTTATATGCTTACGAAAACGTGTAGCCAAATTCATTAGTGAATTTGTAGTGGGCTTTCACCACCACTTGCTGTATCCTCTTAATAAATGTGATGGTGAAAGGCGTTTCAGAAGTTATGGAAACTTTTGAAGTTCCTTTTCTTGTTCCTTTACTCTGCTTAATAAGGAATTCTCGGACTGAGTCTCTGCTTAGCTCAGATAACTGGGCAAAATCTCGAATCAGTCTGTTCTCTCTGTTATAGTAGATTATATCTGTGTTTTTCTTCGTTGTGCACAACACCATAAGCGGAACGGGCCTTTTTAACCATCTGTAAAATTAAGGAAAATATTTCCGAGGACATCGCCCTTTTAAACTCCAAGCGCTTCGGGCCTTCATTCTTGGACTGAGGCGCCTATGGAGCATCTTAAGCCACATCTTCACTTCTCCTTCCAGGAGTGCTGTCGCTGGAATTTGTGACATTTTAGCTCGTTTCAAAGAGCTTTGGCCCACACGGTTTTTTTCAAAAATTGAAGTGAGAGCTGTTTTTACTTCTTCTTCAAACAAAAAGAAATTATCGACTTCATCACGTAAAGGACGAAGAGCCACAATAGCATTCAAAATTCTATTTTCAGCCGCCATTTTGAAAACTGCTTTGTACTTTTATTCGCATTTCCGCTGTACAATGTCAAACAACAGCGGGCGACAAAGTTCCACTTCACGGCACGCCGGCGTGGTATGTTCTCTTTACATTGACGATCGTTTAAATGGGGAGTTGTTTTCTTCGGAGGGTTTTTGGTCACGCCCCATTTCTCGGAGAACTCCGGATTACAGTTATCGGTCTGCGATGGTAGCCTTGTATATAGTCTGCAAAGTTCTTGTTGGTTTGGGTTATTTCTTGGGTATTGCTAAATGCGTTCTGGTCCCTGCGACTCGGATCCAGTATTTGGGAATGATTGTCAACTCTGCAGAACAAGCTTTTTGTATACCCGAAGACAAGAAGCTGAAGTTTGCTCAATTGCGGGAACAGATACTTCTCCGTGAAGCCACTGTTTCCTTGAAGTCCCTTCAAAGATTAATGGGGAAATCCATTTCCTTCTCACTGGCTTTTCCCAGGGCTAAATTTTATATCCGGGAGATGGCAGCGTCCATAGCGAGGGCATCTAATGGTAGCAAGGTAAAGATATCCCCAGTTTTGCGAGAGGAGATTTTGTTCTGCAGGTTCCTGGACAGTTGGGACAAAGTGGTTCGATGGAGAAGTGAAAGTCATGTGGCAATTTCCTTTACCTCGGATGCATCCTCCTTCAGGTGGGCAGCGGTCATTCATCCTCCCTCCGGAACGCTTTCGGTTGGTGATTACTGGGATGAAGACATCCGGGGCGAGCACATAAACGTGAAGGAAATGTGTTCCGTCCTTAAAGGTCTACAGTCACTCCCTGAAGAAATCCGCAATTACTGGATCGATGCACAAGTCGACAATATGGTGGCCATCCATTCGTGGTCAGGCCGGGGACCACGCTGGAGGGCTTTAACGCAAATTTCACAACTTATTTTCCAGTTCCTGGTGGCCAGAAATCTTTCTCTTGACATCTCTTTTGTTCCCTCCAACTCGAATCAGGCGGATTGGTTTTCTAGGAGGTTGTCTCCCTCAGATGCTATGCTTTCGCCAACATCTTGGGATCTTGTCCAGCGCCATTTTGGGGGCGCTAACGGCCATGATCTTGATCTCATGTCGCTAGACTCTAATGCTCAATGTGATGGGAAAGGGAACCCGTTGAGGCATTTTACCCCTTATCCTACCCCTGGCTCGTCTGGGGTTAATGTTTTTAATCAAGACCTGTCAGTGTGCGATGGTAACCATGTTAACGCTTATGTTTTCCCTCGTTTTTCTTTGATTGGCCCTTTGCTGCACCTTTTTGCGTCTGCAAATGCAGCTGTTACAATTGTGGTTCCAAAGTTGTCCCCTTTGCCTGGTTGGTGGCCATTGCTAAATGTGTTGGCTACCCGCAGAGTTTTGGTTGCTAAGAAGGGGTCGGCCGATGTGCTCCTCTTCCCTTCTCGACATGGTTTTGTACCCCGTTTATGCCCCTATGACCTCTGGGCGTTTCGAATTGTACGCTCCTCCTCCTGGACGACCTAACGGGTGATGTTTTCCTTTCAGTCTTTGCCGATTGTTCCCAGACTGTTTCAACCGTCTGTCTTGTCCAGTTTGCGCCAAACCCAATGACTGTGATTTCCGCTTCTGTCAGAGGTGTGGTTATCAACGTCAGAAGAGAGTTTCCCTGGCTTCTCCTCACCTTAAAGCTCCTGTCAATTTGTCCGTTATAATTGCGCGGAAACAATGTTTGCCAGGCAACGCTCTACGCCATACCAGAAACAGAAGAGTGCCTTAGAGGTTGAGTTTATGGATTTCCTCGGATTTACTTCACAACGGGACATGTGCACGGCCATTCCTGATGATGTTGTCGATTTCTTGATGTGGAAGGACAGTTTTGGTAAAACGGTGGTACATTGTGATACGTGTCCTTTCTTTGGAGAGAGAAGTAATTCGTCCTGTTCGTGCCCTATACGCTTGGCGTATGGTTCGGTTGACTCTACCATTGGGAAACTGAGAGCCATTTTCAACAAATATGGTAGAACTGCCATTGATGGCCCTTTTCTCGGGCTCGCTAATCCCGCGGCTTCCCCTGAGGTCAAGTCCTATTTATCCGCCATTAGAGAGCAGCAGTTGGTTGCACGGGTCGTCCCCAAGCAAGCTGAGCCATTCTTTTTCAGGGATTTGGTGCTCTTGTTGTCTGAGATACTTAGGCGCATGAACACCCACCTTCGTTCTCCATCACAGTTGTATATTTTAGCACGGGATAAAGTGTTTTTTAAAACACAGTTCTTTGGCGGTGACAGGGCAGGGGACTTGGGTCGGGTGCGAACGCAGGAGATGCTGTACTTCCCCAACAATCAGGGCTTGTTGTTCAACCACACCTTGACGAAGTCCCTGAGGGATGGTGCTTCGAATCTTTTTGGCCTCAAGCGTCATGTGGATCCGACCGTGTGCCCGGTTACCGCCGTGGAGGTTTACGTTAATCTTTGCGACTTATTAAAGGTTCCTGTTCGCCGTGGATTTTTGTTTCGACCTTTGAACCCATTGGGGGAGGTTCTGCCTGGCCCTTTCGGGTCTGCTGCAGCCCAGTCACGATTATCCCTGTATGCTAGCCAGCTCCCGGACTTGGCTAATCGCAACATCACTCTGCACAGTTAAAGAAGTGGTTCTGCGATTTCTCTTGCGCTGGCTGGAACGAAACTTGATCAGATCATGGACCACGTGGGCTGGAAATCATCGTCCCCAGCACTGCACTATATTAAACTGAATCAAGTACTTAGCTGTGGTGGTGCTGCTGATGCCCTATCTTCTTTGACTTTAGACCTAGCTGACGCTTTTAAGGAATATAAAGATTTGCGGGGTTTTACTAAAGCCTTCACTTAGAGGTTTTCCCCTCTTGCAGGTCATTAGTTTAAGGGACTTGAACTTAAGTTAGGGTTGGGGATGTTAGCGCGTTTAAGGATTGGGTAGGTTTAGGGGGTTTATTTGGTGTGCTTGGATGATCTATTAGGGTAATTTCACAGTGGTAGGCGCAGTCTGGGGTGACTTTCCCATAACTAAATGCTAATGAGTATGCAGGAAGGATATTGAACTATTCATACCTTATTAATATTCATTAGACTTCGTGCATACTATACACAAATCGCGAATCTCAGACGCCGCGCGGGATTGTGGGTAAGTACAAAGTTCAATCGGGCATCACTACAGATTTTGTATGTACATGTGTATCCTATCGTTATCGAATGTAAACGACACTAAAACAAGTTTGTAATCTCAGCAAGCTAGGAGGAGAGGAATTTTTCATTGGAAACTCCGTCCGCTCCTGTTTGAAAATAAGTTTACACAAAAAAGATGGCCGCTGTTGAGCAACTTTCTGTCGATGAAATCAACACATGGAGAATGGATGCATTGAAACACTTTCTTAAGAAACGAGGTCTTAAGGTCTCTGGAAGGAAAGAAGAGTTGGTTGCCGGCGTTTTCGCTGCTGCAGAACAAAACATGCCTGTTTGTTTGGATGCTGCCTCCCGGGTTGCTCAGACGCAACGTGAAAGAGAGAGTCTTCTCAAAACTCCTGAAGGCGTTTTACCGGATCCTAGTGAACTTCATAATGGATGGATAGGTGAACTTAACGGGATGACCAAGTGGCCACCTATACTTCTCAGTGATATTACTTTGTACATAATGAAGGATCATCCAGGGAACGATATTTCCCTTCAAAAACGTCTTCTGAATGAGTACAAAGAGGGAAAAGCCTATCGCTTATATTCTGCTGGATGGTTAAAACAAATTTATATACATCCTGTTGATAATAACTGTAACTACTGTTTCTTGAAGGCAGAATGCACCCCTTCTATGAAAATAAATGATGTACCACACATAGTGTGGATATGTGCGAAGAAAGAGTCAGGAGAGATTCACAGTGCCTTTTGTACCTGTACAGCAGGGTAAGCCATTTCCTTTAAAGTAAGTGATTTTAGTAACATATAGCTACCAGTATGTCCCTCACAAAAATTCCTATATAGCTATATAGCTCTACTGGAAAAAAGAAATAAATTATCCTAGTAGTTCTGCATTAGAATAAGGAATCAGAGTACTTAAAAAGACACACGAAACCACAATATACACTGTAATCCTTTCTGTAGGTTGGGTGGTTCTTGTGTCCACATTACTGCCATGTTCTTTCGCATTGAAGCAGCTGTAAGAGGTGGATTCACAAACTTAGTAGTGGCATGCACTTCAAAGGCCTGCACATGGAATGTTCCCTCCCAAAAAACTGTTATTGAGCCTGTTCGTGCCAAAGATATGAATTTCACAGCAGCTAAATTCAACAAATGTGTGAACGCTGTATGTTAGCTAATATAGGTATAGTTCTTATTGGCATATTGTTAGACTCCCATCATCATCATCATTATCAACAGATGCTCTCATGGACAGGGTTATCAACATGTTCTTAACCCCAATAATGATGGCTCATGGTAGTCAGATGTAATGTAGGTAATCCGTGATTGAAAAAGAATGAAAATAGAACACTGCACTGCTTTTACACATGCCGCTGTAAGCAACTGCTGACGTCTGTAAAGAATCAGCTCGCTAATGACCTTTGCAAAATGAAACTATAGAAGAGCCACAATCAAAATATTATACAGACACAAGCATCAATGGTTCCTGGATATCCCTGGCCATTTTTTTTTTAAAAAAAAAACCGACCGGTTCTTTGTTAGCTGAAAAATTTATTGTGTAGACAACAAGTGATCCTGTGGTTGTCTTTTTAATACAGGTTTCACTATATTGCTGGTCTTATTTAACAGATAAAAATTTTAACTCTTGGGCGAAATAGAAATATTTAAGACTGTATGATGGAATTGTACTTTTCAGGGATTTTTGTTTATTAAGACAATCTGTTGTCTAAGCAGGATGTAATAACTTATAGGGTGCGTGCATGCCACATCCTTTAAAGGCTCTTTTAATATGTATGTGAATTTCTTTCACAGAGGCATCAAGGCCAGCAGTGTCTGCAAAGCGAAAGTTGTTTGTTCCATTGAAGGAAAAGGATATCGACACCCAAGGGAATAATCGCAAGCATATGTTTGAAGAACTTAAGAAGACACTACCAAATGGTTGTTTTACTTCATTTTATGATAGGGACTATGAAACAGATGTCTCATCTGAGGTTCCTGTTGTGTCTAATGCAAATTTACTTACCAAATTAGCTACAACTTGCAAAAGTGTGGAAGAATTTTTGTCTCAAATGCCTGTACTTACAGATGTGCAAGTTCAGCAGATAGAAACCGAAACACGGGGACAGGCAGACAATGCAATGTAAGCTAATCAGCGCAAAGGCAGAATCACAGCATCAAATTTTTACTATGTTTTCACCAGAGTTAATACCAACAAGGCTAACCTTTCAATAAACCATAATGTAGAGCCTCTCTTAAGAAAAATCATGGGTTATGATGCAAGTAAAGCACATAACATTCCTTCTTTAAATCATGGTAAAGAATATGAGCCCATTGCAAAAGAAAAGTATATATCTTTAATGAAGTGCAATCACAAGGAATTCACATTCTCAGAAAGTGGGCTATTTGTTGATCCATCAAGACCTTACTTGGGGGCATCTCCAGATTTACTAGTCCATTGCAGTTGTTGTGGAATGGGATTATCAGAAATGAAAAGTCCTTTTTCTATTGTTAATGAGATAACGTCTGCAAAAAATCTCCCCTACCTTGTGGAACATGACAATGTCACAATGCTTAGAAAAGAGCATGCATATTATGCTCAAATACAAGGGCAACTAGCTTTGGCCAGGAGAACGTACTGTGATTTTTTCGTTTTCACCTGTGTTGGTTACTTTATGCAACGAATTTATTTTGATGAGAGTTATTGGCATAAGTTAGTTAACAACTTAGAATTTTTTTTCAAGAATTATGTTGCATCAGAACTTTTGTCACACTAGTGATTTGTAGTTGTATTCATTAAATGGATGTTGTGCATTACTCACATTTGTTGCATGAGTAACCTGTATCTACAGCCATGCACCTGGGAACCTCTCAAGTGCAAAGCTTTGGCTACAAGTTGCACAATGCTGCACAGATAGTGACAATATCATCAAATTTATCCAAGAGTAAGATGGGCATTTCATGCTTCAATATTTTGAATGTTTTAAGTCGGCGAATTGCCTGCTCAACAAAAATTCTTAAATTCGCAACCTCTTTTGTTTTTGTAACATCTTCCTTTCTCATTTGTTCACTGCCCCTTTTTCCTGGTGGGATGTGTAATCGGCAATGCCTTACTAAAAGATCCTCTGCAATGATGAACCCTTTGTCTGCCATGACTTCATCCCCATATTCAAGAATGTCATAGAAACCCGAGTTTCGAGTAATAGCAACATCTGATGCTCTACCACCCCAAGCCTCTGAAATGAAATTAAATGAGCCACATGGCATTATGGAGACCAGCACTTTCAGTGTATGATGATGTTTGTAGTCTGACCATGTTGCAGCTTTCACCTTGGGGTCCTTTGGAGTTTCAATAAACATTTCTGTACAATCTATGATGTGCCTAACACTCCTGTACTTTGCATTGTTGAACTTTTTAGGCAAGTGCCGCAAAGCAACATTTTTTGATGGATTGTAGATTAGGCACTTCAGCTCCTTTGCCAAGAATCGAACCCAAGTGTTTATTACCTTGCTTACAGTTGTCTCAGATATTTGAAAGCGAACAGCTAGGTCTGCATTCAAGGACCCTAGTCTAAGTTTCATAAGTGTCAATATAAGTTCATCTTTGACAGACAATAACCTCCTAGGTCCGGACTTTTTTGGTGTGCTTGAAAAATTCCTGCGATTTTGTGAAGAATACTTTTTTGGACCTTGCCAGTATTTTATTTTTGGAGCTTTTTTCTCAAGCAGTTTGAATAAGACTTCAAAGGCTGCCTTATTTGGTAATCCAAGGAAAGTCTTAATTTTTTTGTCAGTATTTAAAAGTTTGGCACTAAACGCTGGTGGCTGCTTGTTTACAAATTTCTTTCTCCAAAATGAAACTTCCCTCCTTTCTTTTTCCACCAGCTTTTTTAAGAAATGTATTTCATTTTCTTTAGCAGATATTATGTTTACATTCTTGTCATTCCTGTGGCAGTTGTTTTCAGATTTCATAGTGTTATCATTACAAATACAATTATTATTAGCCTGTGTATTAACATCAGTTTGACTGGAGTTGTCGCCAGTTCCACTATTGTGATGTACTGGTATATCAATCTTGTCTGAATTTTGAGGATGTGGAGGGGCTGATGGCTCATCATAGGACAATGCAGGGGACTCCGAAGTACTCTTTTCATGACATGCCTTTTTAGTTAAAGGTGTTGTTTCCCTAATTAATGGCCTCTTTCTTTCTTTTTTACTGTTTGCAACAGATGTATATCCTAAATTTATTGTAGGGTTAGGATTTTGAATTGTGGGTCTTCCCTCTGGGAAGTGAATACTGCATATTCTTGAATCACTGTTAGGTTGCCGGTTTCGCCCTTTTTCATCCTTTCTGTTTACCAGTTTAATCCATTGCTGTCTTCTCTCACTATCGTGTAACTGGGTTGGAAAGGGAAACAAAGTGAAAGGAGGGGCACAGTCACATTGGCTTGTTCCTTGATTACACTCATGAACTGAGCAAGGGATACTCATCCACTCTTTTAACCTTGCACCACTGTTCCCACAACCAAACACTGCACAGTTTCGGTGACCTGACATAACTGAGCTCTGTGGAAAAAGAAAAAGCCTATGAAGCTAGCTTATATTTCCCAATCAAAGCTATCAATTTTTTTCCTACCTTATACCCCACTAGAGGAAAAGGAACTGATTTTGTGAAGCTAATTTGACAAGTTTTAGCCGGTCTTAAGGTGGGCTAACTTTCCTGACGTTTATGTTTACAAATGTAGTAATCTGTTGACCTAGCTAGCAGAATACTAAAAAACAGGGTCTTACACTAAAGTCATGTCGCGATGTTTCTTTAAAACCCTAAAATAGAAACTACACTCCATGATGGGTTAATTTTAATCCTAAGCTGTCTTTTCGGTGGAAAACTGATAGCTGTGATTGTCAAACAACAAAATCGCCAATAAACATGGCGGTAACCTGCGACTATAAGAGAACTTCGATCGCATGATGACATACCTGCAGCTTGAACTGGATCGGGCCGCAGAACAATTCCGTAGAAAAATAAGGTCAAGTAAGTTTTTCAAGCGAGAATCCAATGAAAAATTCCTCTCCTCCTAGCTTGCTGAGATTACAAACTTGTTTTAGTGTAGCTTACGTTCGATATCTATAGCATACCCATGTACCTACAAAATCTGTAGTGATGCCCGATTGAACTTTGTACTTACCCACAATCCCGCGCGATGTCTGAGTTTCGCGATTCGTGTATATAAGCATGTGTTGATTATTCATAGTTGTCAGTTTGTCTAACTTTGGTTGGATTCGCCCGCCCTCCCACCCCAGATAGAGCTGCTGTCTTCGCATATTTAGTCAGCATAGAAAACATGTCATCCAAGGCTGGGGACCTGTCTTCAACAGATGCACCATTTACCTCTGTTGCTCCAACCAACGTTTCAAGTTGCCTTCTGCTGGCACTTCGCTGCAGAACGTTTAGCTTTCCCTCATCAGTGAGCACAGTTGGACTTTTTCTTCTTAGAGTGGATGTGTTAGCTGTCACTTCAAAAACTAACTTTCTTTTAGTCTTGACAGCGGGAAGATCAACTTTTAGCGGATCAACATTTTCTTTTATGCGAGTTTTCTGCAAGTCCAAGAACGTAAGTTAACCCTTTAAGCCCTATGAATGGTCAGCATCAAATTTCTCCTTGTAATATAAATACTTTGTTAAACAGAGTGGCCATGAGAATTGCGGACATGATCACACAAGATGAATTTGCTTGATATTTTATCAACTTCTTCCCACTACTTCTGTACGAAATGAATGTAGCGAATTTAACTTAGAGAATAAATATTCTTATCAATAAGAATAAAGAGAATTCAGAACATAACTCTGGAGTAAATTTTAGCGGATCGATGGAAAATTGCAAAAATAAGAACCCGCAAAATTTTTGTGCCACATGGTAGTCCTCTACTTTCACTGAAAAAACCTTTTTCAAGCTAAACTTACCTTATTCTTGAGTCGCTGAAGCCTTTTTTTTAAGGTACAAATTTCCTTTGATTTCGAAAGGTACTCCGCTCGAAGCATAGCCCTCTGCTTGCTGAGCTCCCCAACAGGAAAATTTGACTTACATTTCTTCGATGTAGTGCTCTTTCTTCGTGACTTGCTCCCTATGTAAACCGCTCAGCGAACCATATAGACGCAAAAATCTCTAAGAAGCAGAGGCATCCAGTAAAAAACCAAAACGAGGAAAACACAGCCGAGGTTTCAGGACTTCTGTTTACGATAACATACCTGGCAATAATACGTTTCCCAGCAAGAAAATTTTCGACAAAAATACTCAATTTTTCTTGAAGGACTGCGAACTCAGCATGAAACAGAGAGTAAAAGTACAAGGAAAAATTTTGCAGAAGAAAGATGTAAACGCATGCAAATCGCATATCAACAGAAAGCTTAAAGCCTGCAGAAATTTGTTTTTGAGCGCGAAAAACTCCCCTAGTACCCATTCCTCCGCAGATGGCCAAATTCTGACCAGGACTCTTGAGCGAAAATGGCTGCCAAATGACCACGCTATAGAACTGCTAATTAGGGACTGGAAATTGGGGACACTTAACTTGGCCAAAATTGGCACAAAAATTTCCAAGCGTGTCAAGCTAGTTATAAAAAAATATTTTAAAGTACTTAAATGTCTTTCTTTTTTTCTTTTTTTTTTACAGGAAGAGACAAATCCAGGAAGTATTGCTGAGAGCAAGGACAATTCATTCCCGTTTGTTATTTTTATGGGAGCTCTGGCATCGCCAGGAAAAATTTACATTGCTGCGGACAAACAAATAATCTGCAGCTTTGAAGTTTCACTGGTTGAAGCAGCTCTTGCACTTGTGGCCACTTATTGTGTATTTATGTATAATTATCCTCCTGGACTGGCAAATTTTTATTCCTATATTCAAAAATGCATATGGCACATTTCTGATGGCAAAAAGCTTCCCTCTTACCTAATGTCCTTTGTAAATTCCCTTCACGAATTACAGGCGAATATAGTAAAACCCGCCGATTAAGAACCTGCATTTTCCCACCCTCAACAGGTTCTTACATAAACTAGCACAAAGAGGATCCTGAATGTTGAGTAATATCAATACTTTAATACAATTCTGATCAGGTCTATACCATTACATACAGTATTTACTCCAGTTAGCGCTACGCCACTCTTAGGGAACAATGGGTATACCTCCCTTTGACTTTTCTGTAACTTAATATTTCATCCAGCAGACAGTGATTAGGAAAACCAAACTGTTATAGCGTCAACCAGGTGCATTTTCCTTTTCTTTGCAAATAAGAAGTTCAAAATAACATGATCAAGTTGTAAAAGTGATTGATTTCTGTTAAGCATCACTTTTTTTAAGCAAATACATTTCTTTTTTTTCACTAAAATGGCTATTCAATATAGTGCAACCCGTGTGGAATAACTGGTTTTTGCATCAGTGTCGGAGAGTATTTTCCAGTGTGCAATGATTAAGTCTGTGCACTTTGTAACATGAACTGTTAATGCAGTATAGCTATCTTCAAAATTAAGTGGTCCAGTAAATCAAAGATTGATTTACTTGAATTTCTGCTGTGCAGTATTTATTGTCTAATGTTTATTTCATAATTGATGCAGTACAGTAAAAATTGAGTTAGAAAAATGCATGCATCCTCGTACCCCTGATGATTTACGGCAATATTGTAGACGATTGTGCGGTTCAAATTGTTTAAACTAAGTTTTCTGTTACTCAAAATAGAGCGTAATTAGAGCCATCTATTTTCCTCAGTTTCTTGAGTAATATT